TCCTACCTATAAGATTCTGTGATAGGCCCCGGGAATACAAAGACAAAAGGAAATTAGTCCCTGCTTTCAAGGATCTTACATTTTAACAGGGGAGATAACATGACCATATGCAGCCATATGCAAAATGAAAAACAAGATATATCATAACCTTGTTGTGGGGAGGGGGAAGCGAGGCACTTGTCGCTTCAGGTAAGGATCAGGTTAGTACTCATACAGAAGGCAGTGGTTGAACTGAATTGAAGAAAGTCAAAGATTCCAAGATGCAGTGGCGATTGATGAGTGAGTGCATTCCAGGCATACAGGAGAGATACTGCAGATACGTGAAGTTTGGAGATGGAGTAGAATGTGTGAAAAACAACATGAAGGCTATTTTGGCTGGACCCATAGAGTGGGGGGAGGAGAATAATGTGTGTTGAGGTTGAAAAGTTAGTTTGGGACCAGGTTATGAAGGGCCACAGCTGCCAAAAACGAAGTTTATGTTTGATCATAGAGTTCAGAGTGACAGGGACAATAGGTATCATACTCATTTGATCTGGAAAAGAGAAGGGTAAGAAGGAGAGAAGATAACAGTAAAAGTAAACTCAAGGAAATGGTGGGGGGGAGGGAAGGGGAGAGCTGGTTAATGGGAGGAGGAAGAAGCTAAATTGAGATGACTGGATTTGGATTAGTGTAAGCAAAACGAACTCCAGAGACTCAATCCTAACTTTAAAAGGAAGAAACACATGTATCTATGCACAAATACATAAAACAGGCATATCTTTATGGAACAAAATGCAAGCTTAATGTAGAACACCTTAAATGTGAGGGATAGATTTCTTCAAAAATATATTAGGGGAATAGAGGAAAAATCTCCAAATGATAAATGGTCAAAAGTGTGAGAAACGGGGTTCAGTCACTCCTTGGTAGGGTTACAGGTTTAGCCCAAGCGTGCAGCTGCAGCTCACTGCTCCCCTAGAAACATACCATGCGGAGTTCCGTCCCCCCCCTTAAGAAATGAAACTTAAACTGAAGTAAGTGAAGGAAATGTTTATTCATGGTTCTTGCAAGAAGCATGTGTATGGTACCCCAGAGGAACACACACACACACACACACACACACACACACACACACACACTTGTTTTGTTTGTTTTTCAAATTTTTGTTTTTATTTTTTGCTAGGCAATGGGGTTAAGCAACTTGCCCAGGGTCACATAGCTAGTAAGTGTTATGTGTCTGAGGTCGGATTTGAACTCAGGTCCTCCTGACTTCAGGGCCGGTGCTCTATCCACTGCGCCACCTAGCTGTCCCAACACACAGACACAGACACACACAGACACACACACACACACACACACACGTACAGAAGTGAGAGCAAGCTTTATATGGTTAGCTCTTCCTGGTTCCTCTCTTCAGAGCTGGGATTGGCCCCAACTCTTCTGGGTTACAGTTCTTCATCATACTCCCACTACATGTCCTCTTTGACATGTTCTCCGTCCTTGGTCATGCAACCCATGTTCAGAAAATGGAAGGATAATTTATGCATGGGTATGTCAGTTAATATTAATGAAGCTAATTAAGCATGCACAGTAATTAGGACTTGGTGACTGGGACATCAACCCTTGAGTTTGATCTGTTTTGCACATTCTGAGTCCCTCTTGTTCCTTGAACCTAGGGGTCCCTGACCATCAGTCTTTCAAAACAGGATATGCTTATCTGTTACCATACCATTCTTTAAGAAATTCCTTCTTTGGCAATATCTGTGGAAGCAGAACTCCTCCTGGTAGGTATTCCTTATCTTACAAAGGAAATGAACCGGTAGATTTTGAAAGAAGAAACTCAAGCTATCAATGGTCATTTGAAAAAAATTCTCCAAATGACTAATAGAGAAATGCTAATTAAACAACTCTGAGGTTCCACCACACTTTCGTCAGATAGGCAAAGATGACAAAAAATGACAATGACAAAAGTTGAAGGGCACCATAGACAGTGAGGGGAAAAGGTTTTGTTTTTGTTTTTGTTATTTTTGCCTAGGGTCTTGATTTTTCTCAGGATAGGGAGCTCACAGGGAGCAGCTCCCTGTACTGGCATCTATCATTACCTTCCCTGCAACATAGAGTCTGATTGTGACTTGTCCACAGACACATAGCCATTATTTGTCAGAAGTAACACTTGGACCTGGGTCTTCCTGTGTCACTGTGTTATTGAAAAACAGCAACAAAATTAAATATATTTCCATTAAATGGCATAATGTCTAAATTTTTAAAAGGAAAGGTCAATGAATTTAGTGTTGGCAGAAGAGGGAGGGGGGTTAATAGCATAATGCTAAGAGATTTTTATTGATTTCTTCTTTTTTTAACCCATAAAGCTTTTAAAAAAAATAATTTCCATCAAGCAAGTTACTATAAAGCACAATATATTGGTGACTGAGTTTACATTCTTTACTCCACTAGCTTTGTACCTCCATGATGATTCACTATTTCCATCATTATAAATGTTTCCTCTTTTGATGTAGGTTGCAACCTCTTCATACCTTAGAAAATGTTTTAATGAGTTGCCATCATCAAAAAAACCCTTATCTGGTGATAAGACTTCACGAATTTTGCAACATAGTACTCATGTCCTTACCTGTTTGAGAGAACATACAAAAAGTTATGTTTTGCTGACATAACCTTTGGGGTAGCTAGGTGGTGCAGTGGATAGAGCTACAGGCTTGGAATCAGGGTGACCTGAGTTGTGCTTTGCTGACATAGTGGAGAGTTGGACATGACTGAACCACAACACCTCAACACTGCATTGAAGGATCAGAATAGTACCTAAGTAGCAGATCTCTCAGATCATAGTAATAAAATATTACCTATATGGTCTTCTGTATATTATAAAGTGCTTTATTATACAGTATTTCATTTGATTCTCACCACAATTTCATTAAGGCTATAAGGCACTTATATTTTTCCCATTTTACAGATGAGAAAACTGTAGCTCAGAGATGGTAAGGAATTTGCCTGAGATTACAAAGCTAAGTGCTAGATATGGGGCTAGAAACCAGATCCTCCAACTCTTAGCCTAAGGCTTTTTCTACTATGCCTTACTGCCTCTCCTACGGAGTGTACTTCCTGCTTTGTGATACAAATTTCAATTCCATTAAAATTTTTTAGACACAAAATATAATTCTGCCATCTAAAATTTCTAGCATTTTTATCAACATTGTAACTTGTATAACCATATATTATTAGAGCCCCCTCAGGTCTTGTCACAAAAAATTAACACATTTCTAGCTATGTTTCTAAATGTCTGAATCTTCAAATTTTACATGTAGTTTATTGCAGTGCTATAATATTTTAAAGCAAAATGAATTTAAATTAATTTTGGTTCCAGAATTGTGGGAGAATTTCTAGTGATGTTATAGAACCCAAGCTTGATAAGCATTTGTTATTAAGCATTTAGTACATTCAAATTCACATTCATGCAAGTTAGATATACATTAACTGAAAAATGGTGTCTAGTATAGAATGAAAAGAATGATTTATACACCTGGCATCATTCTAATAGAAGACATTTAGTACTGTATCCAATAAATGATTTTTATTGTTGTCCAGTCATTTCAGTCATGTGTGACTCTTTGTGACCCCATTTGGAGTTTTCTTGGAAGATATACTAGAATGGTTTGCCATTTCCTTTCCCAGCTCATTTTACAGATGAGGAAACTGAAGCAAACAGGGTGAAGTGACTTGCCCAGGGTCACACAGCTAGTAAGTGTCTGAGACCAGATTTGAACTCCGAAAGGTAAGTCTTCCTGATTCCAAGCCCAGTGCTCTATACACTGTGCCACCTAACTATCCCCAACAAATGAAAACAAGAACCGATTTTAACATTATTAAGATATCCAATATGATCCATTTAATACAATAAACAAAAGCATTTAAAGAAAAAAATCTTAATTTTAATTTCACAAATATTTCTTCACTGGGCCCTGGAGATTCTAGTTCTCTGCCACAATCACTAGTTCTTTCAAAATCCTGCTTTACTTCAGCAAATAGCCCATGCTTACTAACCCCTTTCTGCCCATTGTAAGAAGGCTACTTCAAACAGAGCGATTACCCCTGGCCTGGAAGTCTAAGTCACATCCCAACCATGCTATTGTATGAACATGTCTGCATAGCTCAGATCTTGACATGTTGCTCCTCATTCCTGTTGTGAGCTCCTTTCATATCTGCTTTCTTGTGCTTGGCTTGAATCTCGAACTCTGCCTACACATTCTTCCCTATCATTGTGCTTTCTTGCTCTGTTTGAACATCTGGATACTGTCCATGTGACACATGGCCTTTAATCACCAATTCAAGGTAGCCTAATTTGACTTCAAAGCTTGCTAATATCCTCCAATTTAGTATCGACAGCCTAGACTCTGCTCTTGACATTGCTATTAGGACATAAAATTACTACGCAGGCCTAATGGGCCAGTGTAGGTTTGGTCCTGGTCTCTATTGTAGCCCACAGCTTGACACTAACATCTCTTTTAAAATGCATATCTTCATTCTATAATTCCTTTAAAACAAATATAAATAATTTATTGTATTTCTGGAGTAACTTCCTCGATAGGGGGGAAAAATAGATAAAAAAGAGGAAAAATTACTTTATGTCAAGAAGTAAATCAACGAATTGTTGTCACAGCAAAGAAATCACCAAATTAAATCGTCATGATAAAACATACTGCTTAAATCTCATTTCATAATAAAATAATAAAAATTAAAATGGAGTTCATTAGAGCAACATCTTAGTCATCTCATAGCTAAAGTTCACAGTTTGAGAACTAAAAGAAAAACTAAGGGGGTGATTTAGGCTATTTTGCTACATATTAAATGAATGTTTTAAAACACAAAGTGAAAAGATTTAGCAAAGACGCAAACCAATGACCAGTTTGAGAAATCATTAAAAATTTGAGTTTAAAATAGTTGGTTTTTTGAAATCTATAATTGATCGACTAGATCCACTAATATTTGCTTTTGTTTTCTTTCTATTTCAGAAAAGCATGTGAATAACGAAACTTATAAGAAAAGAAGAAAAATGAGTAAATAATCTAGAAAAGAAACAGCACAATGAATAATTATTCTGCAGTGATAGGAAGTAAGTCAGAAAAAAACTATGAAAAAGTAAACATGATAATAAATTCTATAGGATTTTAAGAAGTAATGGAACAACAGAAAGAAACTGCAGAAAAGTTTAAAAAGAACACTTAAAGGAAAATATGAAAAACAAGAAATTTAGGAAAAAATCAGTAAGATGAACAATGGAGTAGAAATATTAGAATTCATGATGGAATATCTCTCCAAAAGGATGCTCTGAAAAAAGAGAATAACATATTTGGAACTCAAAAATAGAAAACTGAAAGAACATTTTGAAAAATAACCATAAAATAAGCAATATTGGAAAAACACTTTAGTTATGGGCAAACCAAAGTTACTGACCTTGAAGAAAGGATATTCAGAAATAATTTAAAGATTCTAACAATCATGAGGGGGAAACTGACAAATTTAAAAGCTACAGCAGGAAATAGTGAAATAAAGTGGTCCCAAACATAGTGAAACTAGAGGGCAAAGCGCATATTGGAAGACTCTAAGATGATTGATAAGGCAGCTAAGTTGTGCAGTGGATAGAGTGCAGGGCTTGGAGTCAGGAAGATGTAAATTCAAATCTGGCCTCAGACACTTAGTAGGTCTGTGACCCCTAGCAAGTCACTTAACCCTATTTGCCTCAGTTTCCTCATCTGTAAAATGAGCTGGAAAAAGAAATGGCAAAGCACTCCAGCATCTTTGCCAGAGTGAGACGTGACTGAAACAACTAAAGAAAAAACAACATCATTGGTAAAGATTGCAGCTTCTGTCACCAAGGAATCTAGCCATTCAATTTCAGAAGTTCAAGATCAAACAACAAATATTATAGGCAGCCTAAAGATAAGCCTTTTGCTATCAAGGAAAATGCATCTGGATTATGATAATGCCCAAAGTTACTCTCATGTATGATGAATCAGAGAAGTAATTGAAATATGATATTTTTAAAAAAAAGGTAAAGATTAAGATGCACCCACAAAACAACATACCCTGAAAAGGTCAATGTAATCATCAATGAAAAATTATGTCTTTGTTTTTCTGGGTCATGTGACCAACAAGATGGAGGACTGAGCATTTTCTCTGATCTTTATGATTTCTCAAACTTCTCCAAAATAAGAATGATGCACAAGAAAATACAATTTCAACTCTCTTCACTAGAACACTAAGAACCCAAATGAAGTAAAAACCCAATGAACTAACATAATAATCCTTAACTCCTAACAGTCCGGGGCTGGGGAACCTGCAGCTTTGAGGCCACACGTGGCCTTTTAGGTCCTTGGATGCAGCCTTTTGACTGAGTCCAAGTTTTACAGAACAAATCTTGTAATTAAGGAGGTTTGTTCTGTGAAGTTTGGATTCAATCAAAGGGCCACTTTTGAGGACCTAGAGGGAGACATGTGGCCTTGAGGCAGCAGGTTCCCCACTTCTGTACCTAGCCACTCACTCAGCATCCCTCCTCTATCTCCCACCATGCTACAGGAGCAAAGCTGCACAAAAACACAGATTTACAACAGAATTCAACTTGACCCCCAACTCTCACATCTTTATCTACCTTCTCCCTTGCCTCAGTTGCCTCAGCAGAAATTTGCTCAGACATTAGTGGAGGAAGTAAGAAGTGCTAATGCCCTGTGTGACAAATGAGCCATCCAGAGAACTGAAGAATGGAAAGAACTTAGGCAGGACATGTGGATGTGTTTGTGTGATTCCCCACTAAGCCTGAAGGAAATATCCAGCATTCAGCTTGTACTAATTCTACCCTCCTAGAAATTATTTAGGGGCAGAGACTGAGGCTGCTGAGCTGTGAAATGCCCAGGATTAGAGGCAGAACTCTTAACACCAGCACTCTCTTACTTCATGCTTGATTTATGGATGAAAGGAGTCACTCATAAGTCATTGACCATTTAATAAAAGAAGGTTGCTTTATGCTGCACAGCAAGGATATGGAGGCATTTATCTGGGGCTTTGGTAGATGTGGCCTCCATCATCTCCCCATAGAAATGTATCTGATCAGTAGGTCTACAGAGTATGGAGATTTGAGAGGTCTTAGGCACTTACCAAGTCTGAAAGAGCTAGGTTCTGTGTGACTGTGTTTTTTATGCCCCTCAATAAGCAGGAAGCTGCATTAGGAAAACTGGAGCCAGTCTAGTCCCAGAGGTAGCTTTGTCAGCCACCATGTTGGCTAGTCAGGGAAGGAAGCTGTGCCAGGAAAATATTGGTCTTATCATATTCTACTCCTGTTGGCAAGGTCTTTTCCTAGAACAAAACTCAAATAGAAATAGAGGCCACTAAACTATGTAAGAACCACTGTGGTCCTCATATTGACTTAGAAAATCATATATGTTTATATATTTTCTTTTTATTAATACATTAGCACATTAAAATCTGATAGAAACTATATTTTAATCTGATTCAGGCCACATTCAAGAATGTTGTAGGCCTGATGTAGACTCCCATTATTTGACACCTCAGTTCTAGAAGACCTTCCACCATTTAAACGCTTGCTGGCAATAGTAAGGGAAAAAAGGGAAAAAACCTAACAAAACAAAACAAAATTAAACAAAATAAAAATGTAGAGAACAATAAAAATTGTTGGTCTTTTCCACCTTCCAAAAGACCAAGGACCAAGTCTTCACTGATTCATGTTAACTGCAGAGAGCACAATTCCAATGAGCTGGCCACATTGTTTGAATGCAAAATGTACTCTTGCCAAAAAGACTGTTTTATGGAGAACTCACACAGGGCAAGAACTCACATGGTGGTCAGAAGAAGCGCTATAAGGACATTCAAGGTCTCTCAAGAACTTTGGAATTGATTGTGTGACATGGGAAACACTGGCACAGGATTGCTCAGCATGGCATGCCCACATCGGAGAAGGTGCTGGGCTCTATGAGGAAAGCAGAATTGAAGTAACTCAAAAGAAATGTGAGATGCTCACATTTAGAGAATCCACCCCAAATGTTCACATGGACTATTTGTGCCTAGCATTCCAAGATTGTCTTGGTCTGATCCACCACAGGTAGACACACTGTACCTTGACTCCAACATAGTGATGTCCTTTTGGTCCTCTTCCAGAACAAAGGACACCAACAGCCAAATGATGCCATATCTTTGTAGTTCAAAGTGGGCAGTTTAAGGTGGGTCTCCTAATGTAGCATGGCAGAACAATGAACCAGAGCAGCACCAGGAACATCAGAGCCATAGAACAGATGATGATAACTCTGGTACAGTCATAAGCTTCTTCTCCTGATGTGGGGTAGTGACTTTGACCAGGAGCACCTTCATAAACATGAAGGTCACATGAGAGACTCTTCTATCACAGTTAAAATTCTTCATCATGTATCAGAGTCTCAGTAAAGTAGCCCAGAGGTTATAAGTCTCTTGCATGCAATCTGTCCAGGAATCTAAGCCGAAACCAAGGATCTCTCTTTATCACCATGCTTTTGGTATTTTCTGGCCTACTCGACAAAACCCCTTCCTGGAGGCTTCATCAGGGAGATAATACCAAATCGTTGCCTCTTTAGGGACCTCTGCTGAAGCACTGGCCCTTCCTTCTTCAAAGGCTGAGTAATAACCATCCCTTGCTTTTCTATAGTTGATACCTATTTATACTTTTGACCCAGAGACTTCACTACTATGCTCATACCCCAAGTAGACCATTGATAAGAATGTCCCAATAATCACCAAAATATTTTTAGCAGTATTCTTTGTGATATCAAAGAATTGTAAACAAAGTAGATAAATGCCCATCACTTGGAGAATGACTAATCAAATTGTGGTAGCTGATTATAATGGAATATTACTGTAAGAAATGATAAATGGATGAATTTGGAGAGGCATGGAAAGATCTATATGAACTGATGCAGAGTAAAATAAGATGAGCCAAGGAAACAATATACCTAACAACTACAGCAATGTAAATGAGAGAAAAAGTGAATGTTGAAAAGTTATAAAGAACAAGCATGTCCTGAAAGAAAAGATAAGAAGTCTTCGTATGTTGTACCTTATATATGTTTTCAGAATTTTTTATATATTGATCAATTTTGCTGATTTTTTTCTCTTCTCTTTCTCTTTTAATTCCCCCCCACCTAATAGTATTTTATTTTTTTCCAATTACATGTAAAGATAGTTTTCAATATTCACTTTTTTGTGTGAAGCAATTGGAGTTAAGTGACTTGCATAGAGTCACAGAGCTAAGTGAGTGTGATGTATGTGAGGCTGGATTTGAACTCAGGTCCTCCTGACTCTAGGGGTGGTGCTCTATCCCACTGCACCACCTAGCTGCCCCTCAACATTCACTTTTATAAGATTCTTAGTTCCAAAATTTTTCTCCTTTCCTCCCCAAAATGGCAAGCAATCTGATACAAGCTACACACATACAATCATATTAAGCATATTTCTGCATTAGTCATTTATGAAAGAAGAATCAGAACAAAAGGGAAACACCATGAGAAAGAAAAAAAAGAGAGAAAATAGTATAATTCAATCTGCATTTAGATTCCATAATTCTTTCTGTGGATGTGGATAGCATTTTCCATCACAAATCTTTTGGAATTGTTTTAGATCATTGTATTGCTGAGAAGAGCTAACTCTATCAAAGGTGATCATCACACAATGTTGCTATTACTGAGCACAATGTTCTCCTGGTTCTACTCACTTCACTCAGCATCAGTTCATGTAAGTCTTTCCAGGTTTTTCTGAAATCTGCCTTCTCATCATTTCTTATAGCATAATAGTATTCCATTACATTTATGTATAAGAACTTGTTCAGCTATTCCCCAATTGATGGACGTTCCCTCAATTTCTAATTCTTTGCCACCACAAAAAGAGCTGCCATAAATATGTTTGTATATATGGGCCCTTCCCCTTTTTTTAAGATCTCTTTGGGATACAGACCTGGTAGTGGTATTTCTGGATCAAAGGGTATGCACAGTTTTATAGCCCTTTAGGCATAGTTCCAGATTGCTCTCCAGAATGGTTGGATCAGTTCCCATCTCCACCAACAATGCATTAATGTTCCAATTTTCCCACGTCTTCCCCAACATTTGTAATTTTCCTTTTTCTGTCATATTAGCCAATTCAATAGGTGTGAGGTGGTACCTCAGGTTGTTTTCAATTTGCATTTCTCTAATCAATAGTGATTTAGAGCATTTTTTCATATGACTATGGATAGCTTTAATTTCTTCATCTGAAAACTGCCTGTTGATATCCTTTGACCATTTATCAATTGGGGAATGGCTTGTATTCTTATAAATTTGACTCAGTTCTCTATATATTTTAGAAACGAGGTTTTTATCCCTTTTTATCTTTTAAAATACTTTTTGTATATAGTATATGGTTCTATATGGTTCACTGGGATATGGTTTTATATGATTCTCTGGGAGGTGAAAAGGGAGGGATATCAGGGAAAACTATAGTGAAGTTAAAAAAAAAAGACATCAATAAAATTTTGTTTTTATAAATAAACACAAATATGAGTTAAAAAACAAACAAACCAACCATGCATTTGAATCAGTCCCTCTCCAAAGAAACTAGAAGGAAGTAGACTACTTGTGTGATACAGTGGATTGAATGCTAGATTTGGAGTCAAGGAAATTTGGATTCCA